GTCATTCAGTATTAATTTTTCCTGTCTCAATTCTATTCGAATCCGAACAAGAATATTCAACCTTCTTTTAGTATTGCCTACGAAACAGGGAAGGTTGTACTCAAAAGCGCAATACAAGAGAATATTTTTAAGCTCAAATTAGCAACATTGGTAGTTGGGAAGAGAGTGATAGGGTGTGTATAGTGTTGTTCCGCTGTACGCTGCAATACAAACATTCCGCGAGATTTTCAATGGTGGTGTATTATGGTTTTATAAAGAACCCAACATAAATTGAAACGCTTATCTTTAATGATGGTTAAAACTTTCTAATTTAGTGTTATATTATGATGTTATTCATTTACCCCTACATAATAATCGAAAATCCAGGATCGCACAGGACACTTTGTAGTTAGTAGGAGTTTATTGCAGTACTCTGAAGAGTGAAATGTCGATGCGTTCTTCTGCCATGCGAAATGAAACACAGAAAACAATTGTTAAAGAGGAGCAGGAAATTGAAAAAATAAAGAAGAGTTGGTAAATGTAAGCATTGGTGGGTACCAAATCGTACGATAACAAATAGTTAACTAGACCAGTTACATGCTAAATAATATGAATTTCATTTATGATAATAAGGTGTACCTAGATTAATTGTAGAGCAATGATAGATAATGGCTGATTTCATGTTATATAAGCAACAGCATTTATCTCACATACCAAGAAAAGATTGATTTTTTCAGAACATAAAATTAATAGTTCCGCGTCATATTTGTATATCCGTGTGGTCCTTTTAAAGGCCTCAGACAACCTTAAAGAAATAATGTCTATATTCTGAGGCTTATTCAACAAGTAAGTGTTTATGATCTGTTTCTAGGTTTTTCATTTGTGTTCGGTTTCCGGCGTTGTTGTATTCTTCCGAGATTGAGTTGCTAGTATTCCGCCGGAGATTGCTGTGTATTCAGGTAATTAATTTGTAGGGAAACAGACGCGCCAAATATGGAAGGGCATGGAAGGGGCAGTCATGTGCCAGATAGTGCTTGTCTAAGCGTATTGGTTATGAGTAAGGATGAAACTGAGTCTAGGGTCTGCTAATCTCGAGTACATGCGACTTGAGTAGGAAGGAAGGCCCGTCTTGCATGTCTGAAACGTGGTCTTAGCTGGGGTTTACGACCAAGGTGTTCCTGATTTGATAGATAGGTGGGTTAGGATGTGTGTCATGTTGGATCGGTTGAAGGTGATTTATAGGCATGGGAGTTTCTTGACCACGCAATTTAAATAGTCAAATGAGCGCATTTATCGTTTTTGTGGCGTTCTAGATAGAGTCGCAGTCATGTGAAAATTGCTAAGATTTTTTGGATGTATGGGTGTCTTGCATTCGATATTTTATATTACTGGCTTAATGAACCCGATTAATAATATATATAGATATAAATAAATTTACCTTTGCAGTATATGAACTTGCAATTCTGTTTATTAATTTGTTTAGTAAATTATTTAAAATGCTTTACTAATTCTTGGCTAAACATCAAAATTATAAACGTGTAAATAGTCTAAAAGTGGCGTTTTAAATGCTTCGGACATACTAATTTCTATATGATTCAGGCATTTAATAATTAAAAATTTTATTTTTTACGCGATCGTATAGAATTATGAGGAATTGTAGTCAAGTATGGTCAATTGGAAACCGCTGGAAGAGCTCTGTTCATTGCTTTGGAAGAGGGTGTTGAGGATGCCCTGGGGATGTGCGGCGAAACTAGGCGTCTGTCGTCCCCGGTGCAGCTCTGCCTATATAGAATCAAGTCATGGCCGAGACCGAGAATAATGAGCCCAGGGCCTGTATCGCCTACCTTTCTCAAACTCACGAGCCTCTCCTAGATCGCACGACTTGCAGGATCGGACCTTCGGGAGAAGGGCATGTGTTTTGCGCTTAGCAAAACATAATTGTTGGTGCATTCTGGTGGATGCGCGCGTCTCATCCAAGGGCTTTTTTCTCCCCTGTTGTTCGTGTTATTCCGAGAAACTATACCAGATAACAGTTTTTTTTGTAGGGCAAGCTGTAGAAGGTTAGCTTTTGTACCTTATAGTTTCTGGTTTATTCAAATTGGTATGTTTAAAATTAAAATCTGCACAGCCTCGTATCTGTGTTTACAGCTCTACATATTTTTTCTAAAATTATAATAGATTTATTGAATACACGCAAATTTTTTGTATGCTCGCTACTGATCATGGTCATTTGTTAATTTCATGAATATTAGAATGACACGATATAATTGAAGAATTCTCTAGCACTAAGAAATAGAGCCTGAGTGGTAAATATTATATAAATATATCCTACAACACCTCCCCCCGCAAAATGGTCGTCTGCCAAATTATCATTGTATTATTCTTGTTTGATCCCCTATTTAGGCTGAATGTATTGAGGATTCAGTTTCCTCAACTATCCTATTAATTTGCATACAATCTAATTTTCAAGCTGGCTTTAGTTCAATTTTGGCAGAAAAAAAACTTTAAATTCAAATCATTACTCAGAAAGAGTGAAATATCCTGGTAAAAAATTCATCTTAATACTTCAGTCGCCAAAAATAGTGTAGCCATGTGCCTGTGCATTAAGTATCGTAGGCATATCAGAGAAAATATCTTGTGTATGTTTGAAGGACGACGTGTAACTTAGGCGTCAATGAAATTAAGAGTGAAGAGTGTTGGATAATTTCTTGCGATCTTTTTGATTGTCATCTCCGTAACTCTCGATTGTGCAGTCTCACGGGGCATCTGGATGGGCTGGCGAAGGTCCGTAGTTTGCGCCGGTATTCGTCGTATTCTTCAGGTTCGTGGCCAGTCCTATCCCTTCAGCAGACTCGTGCGCCTCCAATAGCCATCGCTGAATCCGACTAATGGCATTCCAATCCGCGATTTAGTCGTCAGCATGCTGTCGGTCTCTAAATTCGGTTGTGTTTGCCCGCCGGTTATTCATTAATAAGGCGAATGGCCGATAGCTATAGTTATACAACAGTGTTTCTGCCACGCGACACTGATCTTGTCCTATCCTCTTTTTGTCCTTAAACGTAGCACATAGTTCAGCATTCCAATATACATAACTTTTTTACACATGTTAGATGACCAGTCAAAATTAGTAGAGGTGCCACGTATTGAGATTGCTGTTTCTCACTGGATGACGTAGGTATGACTGGGGAACAATCGTAATCGCCGAAGTATTCAAATCCTCAGCGAAAGCAGAACTACTAAAATGATACTCTTGACGTAGGAATTGTAGCCTAGTTACGGAGTTATTGAATCGCCTTTCAGTCTGGCGCGCAAGTAGCTACGTATTTATTGCTAATTCCTATTGGGGCGGAATGACTGTTTATGAGATTTTCTGAATTTACCAATGGACTATACATCTGGGGAGAAGTATAGTTTGTAGGCTAGTCCCATTAGGGAAGGTAATGAAGATAAAAAAATATGCGTGGGAAAAAAAAGATAAAATAATGCTTAAAAATAGCATGATGTGGGGTTAGTTGTTGTTATGAATCTTTAAATTCACTGAGAATTCAGGAAGTGTTCTGACCACTTGCAACGATAATCCAGGAGTGTTGAATGTAGAGTTATTGGGTAAATTGTGCGGCAGAAGGGGAGGTATATTGTTGTAGGTAAATATGTAAGCATATAGGAGAGAGGTTAGTTAAGGGTATGGACGAGTCAAATGGATTAGTTGGGGTGCGGAATAGAAGGTGAAGTAGTTATGATCATTAGGTGTTGATTATTAAAAATGGCGAGATTTTACTTTCGAATTTTTAAAGTAATTAGCACGTCATGTTTTTGCTTATTGTGTTAGTAGGCCGATGAAAGGGATTATGGGAGGGGATGGTCAGTCCTATATGGTCAAGATAATGGAGTTGAGTGGCTTAGTGATATTGGATTTGAACGTGCCATAGTAATGGATATAAATTTAGTGTTTGTATTAGTCTTATAGTTTTTGTTGATTAATTTACAATTGTTATTGGCCGTATGAGATTGTTGTGGGATTTTGAATGAATTAGGGAGTGTATGTCAATAAAGAAGATTATTTTGTAGAGTTAATGAAGCGGAGAGACTTCCATTGGATATTTGCGGAATTTTTTTTTTGGTAATTTCATAGTATTTTAATAGGCAAAGTGCTTGCGGTCCACGTCTGATGCTAGGAGTGTAAATAGTTAGGAGGAAATTTCACCGTAAAAATGAAGCACAAAAGAGGTTAGATCTGAATTATTACAATTAGAAGATTTAACCTCCATACAAAAGCAGAACCAAGAACAAGTCAATTCAGCAAACAAGAGCTGTGCAGTGGGATTATTGAGGAAATGAAAGCTTGGGTAAGGGAGATGATAGGCTTATTGAGCCCGTTCGAACATACATGTTCTAGGTGGGAA